ATTTTTTTAAGTGGTTTCCCCAGTAGGCCTAGTAGTTCCATTAAATAATGAAGACAAAATACGATAAAATGTATGGCTCGGCAGGAAAACTAGATGAAAAGAGGTAAACGATCATATTTAGGAAGAAATAAACTAGCATGTCTTGGGTCGTTTAGACTCTACTATAGATGATATATCCACAGACATTTTAGAAGAACTAGCTCGCATCAACGAAGAAAGTGATGTATCATTTAGAGAAGAACGTTTATCCGTTTTTGTCAATTTCATTCTTGAGAAGGAGCATTCCCATAAATATGTGGACCCAAACATAGAAAAAATTCGGAGACCTAAATCTCTAAGACGTGGATAAGATGAAGAATCTAAAATTTTGAAAAACTCGGTCTCCTTTTCTAATCGGGATTTCAAAGAAATATTGCATTGCAAATCGCACAATTCTTTTTGAAGAAATAGGCTTTGTTCCTCGATTTGCGCGGTAAGAGGATTGCTAAAGAGGATTAAATCTTGTCTTAAACTTTCAAAGTCAGAAAAACGTCTATCAAATTGATCAATTAAAGATTGAATAATATTCAGTTGCTTTGGAAAATTATAATTTGTGCCGTGTTCTTCAAAGAGAATTTGGCAAGAAGAGAAAAAGTGAAGAACATTATCTTGCAACTGATTTTTAAGAAGCAGCAATTTTCTGCGGAAAGCATCGATACAACTAACTAATTGCGTAATTGTTTGATTGGACTTTCGCAGCTTTAAATTTAGAATATTTAAATGATTTGTTAAATCAGTCATTAAAGCAAGCTCACTAAGCGAGTCTAAATCTTCGAAGAAAAATCTAAATTCGTCCAATTTTATGGGATATTCGTCTTGCAAAAAAAGGACTATCTCCTTTCTTATCTCTGCGAAGAATTTTTCAAGACATTTTCCTGCACTGAGCCATCGCACTTCACAATATAAAGGAACATCTATATAGCTTGCGTTATGCTCTTCGAGAAAATGTTGGAATTTACGATGAGAAAGAAATTTTTGACCACCTTTAATTAAATTAATAATTTTTGTGACCGTTTTCATGGCGCTACTTAGTTTAATATCTTTCCCACATAACGCTTCTTGATGAATTATACAATGAATAACAGGGAATTTGAGATTTCGCTGCTTCAAATGTCCGAAGAACCCGTTTTTTAAACCTATCATTGCTTTTGCGCCATCGATGACTACAGCCGAACATTTGGAGAAATCGATGTCAAACTTTTGTAGACATTGGCTGACAGCCTTGAAGATCTCTGCACCTGTTGTCCTACTATGCAATGATACAAAATCTAAAAGCTCCTCGACATATGAAAAATTATTTTGTACGTATCGAGCAAAAATACTCAGTTGACTCACATGTCGATTATCGGTGCTTTCATCGAGATATAAAGAATAATAACAACAAGACGCTAATAAAAATTTTAATCTCTCCCATAAAAATAGCGCAATATCATTAATCCGTGATTTCACGATTTTACGATTTAAAGGAATGCTTGCAGCTTCTTCTAAAATTATCGAATCTCCAAACGATTCGACTGCTGCGATGAGGCATTCCTTTACAAATTCCCCTTCACTAAACGGCTTGGATTTTTTTGAGATGTGATATTGCATATGACGCGGTAAGGGCTTTCGTAGAAAATGTAATATTCTCGACATTTAAATCGCGACCTTCTTTATAAACTAATTTCAATGCCTCAATTATATTTTGTTTCTCCTCGTCCACATATTTTGAATACTCTTGAGAATGTTGAATATTATAATGTCTATAAAGGGAATATTTTTTAATAATCGATGGTTGAAAACCACACAAAAGACAGATGACTCTATCGGAAATATAAGCGAAGAAAATTTTCTCCCATACCTTATCAGAAGTTTGCTCGAACTTTTGATTCCTATCCATTGTTCCTATCCTATCCAGAGAAATCCAGAAGACTACACCAAAGCAGAGACACAAAATCACAGTAAAACTTGAGATAAAATTGCCAAACTGTCTGTATTCTTATAAGAGACCTTTAACGAGCAGACTCTCGTATAGATTGTGGAAACAGATAGACTGTAAAACAATTGCATATCGGTCAGCAACAGAGTCTGTCCAAACAATTGAACACGTTAAAGTCTAGTGCGTGTTTGTAGAGTGTATAAATAGGTAGAGTATTCAAACTATATGGATGAGGAGAGACGTAATATATTTGAAGGATTAAAACTGGTTCATGAAGAAAGTCGTAATATGAATGTCGAGAATTTTCAATGTTCAACGAAAGCCCTTATCGCGTAATATGCCATATCAAATTTCATTGCAAAAAATTCCAAGCTTTTTAACAAAGGAAAATTTGCAAAGGAAGAAGTAGATAGACTAGGGGGATTCTAACCCAAATTGCTAATTAATTATGCAAAAGACATTATTTATTAATTAATATTTTTTAATTAATACCCCCCTAATTGATACTCCCTCTTAATTGATTCCCCTCTTAATTGATCCCCCCCTCTTAATTGATCCCCCCTCTTAATTGATACCCCCTCTAAATTGATACCCCCTCTTAATTTATACCCCCTCTTTATTGATCCTCCCTGTTTATTGATCCCCCCTGTTTATTGATCCCCCTTTTAATTGATACCCCCTCTTTATTGGTATCCTCCTGCTCCATCCCAGAATCTTTGATTCTATGAGCAAGATGGCGGCCGTGACGTCACGAGAGAAAAACGCATCGGGCTGTAGGTAGACTCGAACCTGGGCCCCGCGGGTTGCTATCGAACGCTCGAACCTCCTAGACCATTGCTGCCTGTTGCTAGTAGACGTCTAGTGAAGGTTCTTACAGTATGTGTGTGAAGACGTCACGCATACGACAAAAGAAAAAAACATGGCGGCGGTGTAGGCCAGACTCGAACCTGGGTCCCGCGGTTGCTATGGAGCGCTCGAACCTTCTAGACCACCGTCGCTTATTGCTAGTAGACGTCACGTTACGGGTAAGATGGCGACCGTGACGTCACGCATACGTCAAAAGAACAAACATGGCGGTGGTGTAGGTAGGGTCGAACCTGGGCCCCGCGATTACTATCGAACCTGGGCCCCGCGATTACTATCGAACGTTTAACGGACGTTTCTCGAACGTCTATCGAACGTCTATCGGACGTCTCTCGGCGTCTCTTTTCGAACGTCTATCGGATGTCTCTCGAACCTCCTAGACCATTGTTACCTATTGCTAGTAGGCGCATAGTGAAGATTCTTACAGTGTGTATGATAGCGTCACGCATGCATCAAAAGAAAAACAAAGTCGAAACTAGGCCAGACTCGGACCCCGGACCCTTCGTTTACTGTGCGATGGTCCTACCACTTAGACCATCATAGGGTAGGTTGGAAGGGAATACGAAACGTTCGTCGAAAGAGTATTTTACCATACCGACTTGCGCTGGGCACTATCCTCATCGTTCTGAGGAGGGGGAAGGGAAGTAAAATGGGAGACATATAGAATTAATTTATACATAATTTTATGTTTTAGAATATCATTTATTTGTTCACGGCTTCATACATTATATTTTTTACAGCGCATGCTAACAATTCACAATCAATGAGCGACTCGCGGTCAAAGTCGCTGCTTTCTTGTATTATTTTTGTTGCAGTATGTATATTAGTAATATAATTCTTCTTTTCACGAAGAATATTTACAAAACTTTTGAATTTTACACTAACTATACAAATATTTTCTGATAACCATCCATACATGTGATTGAAGCAATTTTCAAGTGTAAATAATATATTTAACGTATCTGGTGTTACATATAAGCAATTATTAAAAATTGTGAGTTTCACAATTTGTGAGTTGTACATCTTACATGACGTTATTGTTAATTCTTCTATACGCATCGGGGGAGACGACGACTTATAAAAATTGGCCTGCAGAAATCTTTGGATGTCAACACGTTGCCCCATTAGCGCATTCCAAGTTTTGATCGGCAATAGCAGTTGTTTGCCACGATTATCATCAATGACTATGTCTATGACGGGTTCAGCTCCTACGCTGATCCCGATATTCAAATATTTATAAGCAGTTGCAGTCAAAGCGTATCGGCGTCCTAAGATATGCATAGCAGGAAGTCGTGGAAAGCTGAAAAGACATAGAAAATTTACAGGTCTGAATCTTGGAAAAATTACTACGGATAAACTAAAAGAAATAGCATTATAACACTCACCTTTCGCACATTTTCTTGCTCGGTGGAGCCTCGTCCTCATGTTGAGCAGGCAATAATTTGTAATAATTTGCGTGTAATAATTTGCATGTAATAATTTGCGTGTTTAGCGTTCACTTCAGCACCGGCAGCATACATTTTTATTATGTAGACACATCCAAACTTTACTATGTAGACACACAACCGATGAATCTCGTGTTCACAGAGCGACTGAGAGACAGAGGTGTTTTTTCCGAAGCCTAATATTAAAGCTACTATAGGGCATCCCCTCTTCTTACTCTTCAGAGTTGTAGCGCATGCGTAGATATATTCCTCAAAACAGGAAAGTAAATGAGATGTAGATATCTTTGGTTAGACTCGGGATGGCATTAGAGATGTCGCTTCCGAACGACATCTTTTAACGATATCAGGGGCGAGGAGAGTGTCTTGACCATGGAGCGTCAGGTAGCTCAGTGGGTTTAGAGCAGCCCCCTGCAAGCGAGAGACCCGAGTTTAATTCCCGGTCTAGCGACTACCGCACTTACGCGATATTTTTTCTCTCTTCGGGACGAAATAAGAAGCAGGTCCCATCGTCTAGTTACACCCTCCTTCTTTCACGGTCGTCATTTGACTCGCGCATATCCGAACGTGTTTTCTAACGGAGAGAATATAAAGTAAAGGATTCCAAAGAGCCGAGTATTCTCTGTAGTTAATAAAGAAATGGAAGACTTCATTCAAACCGAACGAGAACTGTTGGAGCAATCCACGCGTCTGAATTCGCGAGAGGCTTACGACGCGTGGGTGCAAAAGTTTGACAAATGTATCAGATGTTTGGAAGAACAAAGTCGAGCAAAACGACCGCGATTGTCGATTGGCGCCGCGCATCAGCGGTGGCTCGTATTGCACGACTCGAGGGATTGAAAATTTCTGTGCAAGAACGCTTCATACACGTGGGTGCTGGAGACGCATCAAGAGATGCAGAATTGGTATGGAGAGAAATTGATACAACGTTCGAAAGCCGCATATCAACCGGCGCAGTTATTAACGTGAACCATATCGAACCTCTTCGATTTCTCCAAGATGCGAAGAGTACAGTGCTCGAGCACGTGCGAAGTGCTATGGAAAAGCACGACAATCTTAAGGTGAACACTGTGTTCAATGGCGAGTTCACCTCAGGCGACAATTATGCATTCAAAAGCATTAACACGAGAAACAGTGGACTCTTTTCTGCTTTAGATTTGGATAAATGGTACGAGCAACGCGTCATCGAGCCTACCTTGGCATCTTTGGAAGAATTTCAAGAACGTGATAGTGGGTGGGCACTGCTACGCATACTTGATCTCACAGTCAATGTGAACAAATACAATCCACTGCATGCAGGGTGCAACATTGAGCTGCCTCGCGAAATAAAATTAAAGAAAGCCGTGATAAACGTACGAACTAAAGACAACGCATGTTTTGCATGGTCCGTGGTCGCGGCATTATATCCAGCTGAAAGAAATGGAGACCGGGAATCTTCGTACCCACATTACACCAAAATATTCAATCTTCAGGATATTGAATTTCCAATGACGTTTAAACAAATTACCAAGTTTGAACAGCTAAACAACATATCCATCAACGTATACACCACTCAAGATAAAAAGAAGCAAGAAGAAGCATGTACGATCGTTCCGATACGTCTCGCTAGTAAGAAGGAAAAGCATGTAAATTTGTTATATGTGCAAGATCCACAAGAGTGCAACATGGGACATTTCGTGTGGATCAAGAATTTGTCACGTCTTGTGGACATGCAACTGAGTAAGAAAAAATGCAAGAAGTATATATGCGATCGGTAAGGAGATATTCACCATAAATATAACAAATATGAAATAAAAGAATAACTCGTAATATCCATTTCTTTTCAGTTGCTTGCATTATTTTTATTCCAACGAAAAACTGGAGAATCATATCATAGATTGCAACAAGTTGAATGACTGTGCAGTCATCCTGCCAACAGAGGCCAACAAGTGGCTCAGTTTTACTAATTACAGCAGAAGGGAACGGATTCCATTCGTGGTGTACGCTGGCCTGGAATGCATTCTAGAGAAAACTCCAAACGAAGAAAAAATCGTATGTGTATCATCATAAAGCATCATAAAGTACATAGTATAGCTTATTATGTATGATGTTCCTACGATGAATCATTATCCGCATATCAGTGTCGTCGCGATCCGAATTGCATTTCGTGGTTCGTCGAGGAACTTAAACAATTGGCGCATCGTTATAAAAATTATTCTGCGTAATAATGTCCCTATGGAAATTTTATCACAAGAACAGTGCGCAGCATTTTATAGTGCAACGCGTTGTCATATATGCGAAAAATTATTCGCAGTGGGGGATATATGCGTACGCGATCATTGTCATTTAACCGGACAATACAGGGTCCCGCACATTCCAATTGTAATTTAAATTATACAGATTCCTATTATATTCCGACAGTTTTTCATAACTTATCAGGTTATGACGCTCATTTTATTATCAAGGAAGTAGCCACCGCGTTCGAAGGTCACGTTGATGTACTACCAATAACGAAAGAAAAATATATTTCATTTACCAAACATATTGAAGATACAACAAGTAAAACATCAGACTGGCGAAATCATATTAAATTGCGGTTCATCGATTCGTACAAATTTCTCAATACCAGTCTCGATAAATTAGCATCGTTTCTCACTGGAGACAAATTAAAAATTCTTCAATCCGAATTTAAAAAAANTCCCCCCTCTTAATTGATACCCCCTCTTTTAAATTGATACCCCCTCTAATTATACCCCTCTTTATTGATCCCCCTGTTTATTGATCCCCCCTGTTTATTGATCCCCCTTTTAATTGATACCCCCTCTTTATTGGTATCCTCCTGCTCCATCCCAGAATCTTTGATTCTATGAGCAAGATGGCGGCCGTGACGTCACGAGAGAAAAACGCATCGGGCTGTAGGTAGACTCGAACCTGGGCCCCGCGGGTTGCTATCGAACGCTCGAACCTCCTAGACCATTGCTGCCTGTTGCTAGTAGACGTCTAGTGAAGGTTCTTACAGTATGTGTGTGAAGACGTCACGCATACGACAAAAGAAAAAAACATGGCGGCGGTGTAGGCCAGACTCGAACCTGGGTCCCGCGGTTGCTATGGAGCGCTCGAACCTTCTAGACCACCGTCGCTTATTGCTAGTAGACGTCACGTTACGGGTAAGATGGCGACCGTGACGTCACGCATACGTCAAAAGAACAAACATGGCGGTGGTGTAGGTAGGGTCGAACCTGGGCCCCGCGATTACTATCGAACCTGGGCCCCGCGATTACTATCGAACGTTTAACGGACGTTTCTCGAACGTCTATCGAACGTCTATCGGACGTCTCTCGGCGTCTCTTTTCGAACGTCTATCGGATGTCTCTCGAACCTCCTAGACCATTGTTACCTATTGCTAGTAGGCGCATAGTGAAGATTCTTACAGTGTGTATGATAGCGTCACGCATGCATCAAAAGAAAAACAAAGTCGAAACTAGGCCAGACTCGGACCCCGGACCCTTCGTTTACTGTGCGATGGTCCTACCACTTAGACCATCATAGGGTAGGTTGGAAGGGAATACGAAACGTTCGTCGAAAGAGTATTTTACCATACCGACTTGCGCTGGGCACTATCCTCATCGTTCTGAGGAGGGGGAAGGGAAGTAAAATGGGAGACATATAGAATTAATTTATACATAATTTTATGTTTTAGAATATCATTTATTTGTTCACGGCTTCATACATTATATTTTTACAGCGCATGCTAACAATTCACAATCAATGAGCGACTCGCGGTCAAAGTCGCTGCTTTCTTGTATTATTTTTGTTGCAGTATGTATATTAGTAATATAATTCTTCTTTTCACGAAGAATATTTACAAAACTTTTGAATTTTACACTAACTATACAAATATTTTCTGATAACCATCCATACATGTGATTGAAGCAATTTTCAAGTGTAAATAATATATTTAACGTATCTGGTGTTACATATAAGCAATTATTAAAAATTGTGAGTTTCACAATTTGTGAGTTGTACATCTTACATGACGTTATTGTTAATTCTTCTATACGCATCGGGGGAGACGACGACTTATAAAAATTGGCCTGCAGAAATCTTTGGATGTCAACACGTTGCCCCATTAGCGCATTCCAAGTTTTGATCGGCAATAGCAGTTGTTTGCCACGATTATCATCAATGACTATGTCTATGACGGGTTCAGCTCCTACGCTGATCCCGATATTCAAATATTTATAAGCAGTTGCAGTCAAAGCGTATCGGCGTCCTAAGATATGCATAGCAGGAAGTCGTGGAAAGCTGAAAAGACATAGAAAATTTACAGGTCTGAATCTTGGAAAAATTACTACGGATAAACTAAAAGAAATAGCATTATAACACTCACCTTTCGCACATTTTCTTGCTCGGTGGAGCCTCGTCCTCATGTTGAGCAGGCAATAATTTGTAATAATTTGCGTGTATAATTTGCATGTAATAATTTGCGTGTTTAGCGTTCACTTCAGCACCGGCAGCATACATTTTTATTATGTAGACACATCCAAACTTTACTATGTAGACACACAACCGATGAATCTCGTGTTCACAGAGCGACTGAGAGACAGAGGTGTTTTTTCCGAAGCCTAATATTAAAGCTACTATAGGGCATCCCCTCTCTTACTCTTCAGAGTTGTAGCGCATGCGTAGATATATTCCTCAAAACAGGAAAGTAAATGAGATGTAGATATCTTTGGTTAGACTCGGGATGGCATTAGAGATGTCGCTTCCGAACGACATCTTTTAACGATATCAGGGGCGAGGAGAGTGTCTTGACCATGGAGCGTCAGGTAGCTCAGTGGGTTTAGAGCAGCCCCCTGCAAGCGAGAGACCCGAGTTTAATTCCCGGTCTAGCGACTACCGCACTTACGCGATATTTTTTCTCTCTTCGGGACGAAATAAGAAGCAGGTCCCATCGTCTAGTACACCCTCCTTCTTTCACGGTCGTCATTTGACTCGCGCATATCCGAACGTGTTTTCTAACGGAGAGAATATAAAGTAAAGGATTCCAAAGAGCCGAGTATTCTCTGTAGTTAATAAAGAAATGGAAGACTTCATTCAAACCGAACGAGAACTGTTGGAGCAATCCACGCGTCTGAATTCGCGAGAGGCTTACGACGCGTGGGTGCAAAAGTTTGACAAATGTATCAGATGTTTGGAAGAACAAAGTCGAGCAAAACGACCGCGATTGTCGATTGGCGCCGCGCATCAGCGGTGGCTCGTATTGCACGACTCGAGGGATTGAAAATTTCTGTGCAAGAACGCTTCATACACGTGGGTGCTGGAGACGCATCAAGAGATGCAGAATTGGTATGGAGAGAAATTGATACAACGTTCGAAAGCCGCATATCAACCGGCGCAGTTATTAACGTGAACCATATCGAACCTCTTCGATTTCTCCAAGATGCGAAGAGTACAGTGCTCGAGCACGTGCGAAGTGCTATGGAAAAGCACGACAATCTTAAGGTGAACACTGTGTTCAATGGCGAGTTCACCTCAGGCGACAATTATGCATTCAAAAGCATTAACACGAGAAACAGTGGACTCTTTTCTGCTTTAGATTTGGATAAATGGTACGAGCAACGCGTCATCGAGCCTACCTTGGCATCTTTGGAAGAATTTCAAGAACGTGATAGTGGGTGGGCACTGCTACGCATACTTGATCTCACAGTCAATGTGAACAAATACAATCCACTGCATGCAGGGTGCAACATTGAGCTGCCTCGCGAAATAAAATTAAAGAAAGCCGTGATAAACGTACGAACTAAAGACAACGCATGTTTTGCATGGTCCGTGGTCGCGGCATTATATCCAGCTGAAAGAAATGGAGACCGGGAATCTTCGTACCCACATTACACCAAAATATTCAATCTTCAGGATATTGAATTTCCAATGACGTTTAAACAAATTACCAAGTTTGAACAGCTAAACAACATATCCATCAACGTATACACCACTCAAGATAAAAAGAAGCAAGAAGAAGCATGTACGATCGTTCCGATACGTCTCGCTAGTAAGAAGGAAAAGCATGTAAATTTGTTATATGTGCAAGATCCACAAGAGTGCAACATGGGACATTTCGTGTGGATCAAGAATTTGTCACGTCTTGTGGACATGCAACTGAGTAAGAAAAAATGCAAGAAGTATATATGCGATCGGTAAGGAGATATTCACCATAAATATAACAAATATGAAATAAAAGAATAACTCGTAATATCCATTTCTTTTCAGTTGCTTGCATTATTTTTATTCCAACGAAAAACTGGAGAATCATATCATAGATTGCAACAAGTTGAATGACTGTGCAGTCATCCTGCCAACAGAGGCCAACAAGTGGCTCAGTTTTACTAATTACAGCAGAAGGGAACGGATTCCATTCGTGGTGTACGCTGGCCTGGAATGCATTCTAGAGAAAACTCCAAACGAAGAAAAAATCGTATGTGTATCATCATAAAGCATCATAAAGTACATAGTATAGCTTATTATGTATGATGTTCCTACGATGAATCATTATCCGCATATCAGTGTCGTCGCGATCCGAATTGCATTTCGTGGTTCGTCGAGGAACTTAAACAATTGGCGCATCGTTATAAAAATTATTCTGCGTAATAATGTCCCTATGGAAATTTTATCACAAGAACAGTGCGCAGCATTTTATAGTGCAACGCGTTGTCATATATGCGAAAAATTATTCGCAGTGGGGGATATATGCGTACGCGATCATTGTCATTTAACCGGACAATACAGGGTCCCGCACATTCCAATTGTAATTTAAATTATACAGATTCCTATTATATTCCGACAGTTTTTCATAACTTATCAGGTTATGACGCTCATTTTATTATCAAGGAAGTAGCCACCGCGTTCGAAGGTCACGTTGATGTACTACCAATAACGAAAGAAAAATATATTTCATTTACCAAACATATTGAAGATACAACAAGTAAAACATCAGACTGGCGAAATCATATTAAATTGCGGTTCATCGATTCGTACAAATTTCTCAATACCAGTCTCGATAAATTAGCATCGTTTCTCACTGGAGACAAATTAAAAATTCTTCAATCCGAATTTAAAAACTTATCCGACAAAGATTTTGATTTATTAACGCGAAAAGGTGTTTTTCCGTACGAATATGTGGATTGCAATGACAAGCTGCAGGATCAATGTTTACCACCGCGCGAGTCATTCTGCAGTTCGCTGACAGGTGATATAGTATCTGAGAGCGATTACACGCACGCCATGAACGTATGGGAACGGTTTTCTATTCAAACCTTAGGCGAATATAGCGATTTGTACCTGAAAACTGATGTTTTGTTATTGGCTGATATTTTCGAAAATTTCCGCGATAGTTGTATCAAAAGTTACGGTCTAGATCCCGTACATTATTACACATTGCCAGGTTTCACGTGGGATGCGATGTTAAAACATACAAAAATTAATTTTGAATTACTCACAGATATTGATATGGTAATGTTTATCGAACGCGGTATACGTGGCGGTCTGAGCCAGTGTTCCGGTAGATACGCAAAAGCCAATAACCAATACATGCAATCTTACGATCCATCGAAGCCATCCTCATACCTCATGTACTTTGATATAAATAATTTGTATGGCTGGGCAATGTGTCAACCGTTACCATACGCTGAATTTAAATGGGTTGATGATACGTCGAATTTTGATGTATCATCAATCCCGCTAAATTCACTCACAGGTTATATTCTCGAGGTTGATTTGGAGTATCCTCAACACTTGCATGATACACATGCAGATCTACCGTTCTGTCCGACGCGAACGAAGCCCCCGAACAAACGGCAAGAAAAATTCCTTGCGACTTTATATAATAAGCAGTGTTACGTTATTCATTATCGTAATCTGCAGCAGTGCATACGCCATGGTCTTCGTATCGAAAAGATTCATCGCATACTCCAATTCGCACAAACTTCATGGCTACGCAACTACATAGAATTAAATACGCAGTTTCGAACGCATGCAACAAACGATTTTGAGAAAAATTTATACAAATTAATGAACAACGCGGTATTCGGCAAAACAATGGAAAATGTTCGCAATCATGTCGATGTAAAACTTTTGACAAAATGGGATGGACGATACGGTGCAGAGGCAATGGTCACAATGTCCAATTTTCATAGCAGGAGCATCTTTTCAGAAAATTTGGTTGCAGTTGAATTGCGAAAACTCGAAGTGAAGTTCAACAAGCCGATCTATGTGGGTATTCTCGACATATCTAAGACCTGCTTGTATGAATTTCACCATGAGTACATGTCACCTCTATATCGTGAGAAATGTAAAGTACTGTATACGGACACAGATAGCTTAATTTACCATGTAATGTCCGACGATGTATATGAGCTAATGAAACGTGACATTATTAGGTTTGATACGAGCGATTATCCTCAAAATAACATATACGGTATACCGCTTAAGAACAAAAAAGTTCCAGGGCTTATGAAAGACGAAAATAACAGAGCTATAATGACAGAATTCGTCGGGCTCAGAGCAAAAATGTATGCGCTGAAAGTAGAAGGTAAGAGGGATACCAAAAGGGCGAAGGGTGTTAAGAGGAATATTATAGCACGAACGATCAATTTTGACAATTACACACATTGTTTGAGAGAGGAATTTGAAACGAGTCGGCGTCAATCGTACATAAGATCCAAGTTGCATGAGGTATACACGGTATTCGAAACGAAAACTGCTCTCAGTCCATACGATGATAAGCGATTTATTATGTCTGATTTGATAAATATATTACCATGGGGACATTATAGTACACTATTATAACGTTTATTTATTTTATTAGCTATTTTACAATTAAATATGTCATCAAATGTTCTAATAAAACTGTATTCATTTTTTTACAATACATTATCCTTTTGTATCCATGAATTATGCGAATTGTCGGATCCCAACCATTTTACATATACTTTGTCGCCATGCCTGCGCAACACTTTTTCTACTAAGTATACATCTGGATTGGTGACATTATGTAGTTCGTGTTCGTAGAAACCCTCGGCGATAAGTTTCCCGCACGAGTCTGCGAGTAGGTAAGTTGCAGGATTAGTTGTCTGCACTTTGACGATTTTAAACACTTCGGTTGTCCAATTCGGTGTATAGCCTTTTTCAAAGACAGTTTTGAATTTGCTGACGCGTACCAGATCACCCACTTTGAATTTCGCAGGCGCTGCAATCTTTACGTTACTATAGACTGTGTTTAAGAGCTTATTAGCAATCGTAGGAGTCACATCGATAGGACGCATGCCGATAGTTCGATGTTTTCGCGTGTTGTATTCAGCGACGAGGCGCGGTAACGAGTCGATCCATTTGTAAGTTCCGTTGAACGTAAACATTTTCCACATGTTGTTCTTTAACGTGCGGTTGAATCGCTCCACAACAGATGCCTTCATTACTGAATAAGTCGAATAATGATTAACACTGTGTTTCTTCACAAGTCTCTGCAACTCTGTATCGTAAAACTCCTTTCCCTGATCAGTTTGCAAGTTCTTCGGACATCTTCCATCCGTTCGAATTATCTTTGCGAATGCCTCGGCTATCTCCTTTCCGCTTTTGCTCTTTAACGGCACGGCCCATGCGTGCTTGCTCAGTACGTCGATAATGGTGAGTATGTAGTGGTGACCTCCATTGAATCGCGAGTAAGGACGCATTTCCACCACATCGGCCTGCCAAAGATCATCGTACCCACGCACTATGACGCGTCTGCGAGGAAAATTTCGTCTCACTGGAGCGTGTAATTCTTTCACTAGTTGTTCTTTTTCGGAATGTTTCTTCTCATTATTTTTCCCCGTTACTCGCCGAGTCGTTTTCCCATCATGCGTGAAGCTTTGTCGCTTTACACCCGCAGAAACAGCTGAAATAGTACCGATGAGTTGCTTCTCTGAACTTTTCTTCTTTTTGTTAAATTTTGACAATTGCTTCACCATTGCAGCTCGTGATGATCCGTCTCTTGCTTATGTCGATACTATATGTCGATTCAACTGCAATATTCTACTCTTATATTTTCGACAATTTCTTTATCTCTGAATCTGTCCAGTCTAAAATTCGTTCTGTGTTCTCATGAATGCTATTTATGCTCAGTATGTTTTTCTTCTGGTAGTCTTCCAGCCAATCCTTCAATTTTTTAACATTCTCATCTACATATTGCTTCGTCTCAACGTTACTCTCATGCAATAGAAGCTTTACAGAATTTATATTCTCATCCATATACTGCTTCTTCTCAACGTTACTCTCATGCAGCAGAAGTTTTACAGACTTTATACTCTCATCCACATGATATTTGTGCGCAACATCATTGAAGACTCTCGGCCGCGTTACATGATGTATCGCGTGTCCTGTTGCATCAAAACCTTTGCCATCGGCAGTTAGACAAAAGGCATTTTCATGTACGTATCGTTTGGTTGCAACATCATTAAAGAGATTTCTCACACCTGCAACACATTCTTCAACGTATTATTTGATTGCAACGTCACTGTCGGCTTCAGCCTGCGCTACATGTTTTATCTTGCGCGATTTTGCATCAAAAACTTTGGCCGCGTTTAAACAAAGGGCATTTTCATGTATGTAATTTTCAATGTCATGTTCATTCCATTGATGCGCTCGATCAGTTTTCGCACCATTGTTTTCTCGCGACACTCCAAACTTATTCATCGACATTTCGGAACAAGTTGTACCGACTGACTGACTTGTGTCAATGCCACGCTGCTTAATTTATAATGAGACCAGCTTCACGGAGTTCTTCGATAATCGATAAAATTTCGTGCTCGTGCGAGTTGTTGCCAGCTTGGCGCGAAGCGTCAAGCAATCGCAGACAATCCACCAGCTCGTTGGGATCATCCCAATGCACGTAATCGATATTGTTGTCATTTAAGGTCATCATAGTTTGCGATGCGTATAAACATTTCCTCCCACTTTATTGCTCGACGCATCTGATACTAGGGGTGCGATTATATGTTTATATTTGTGTCCCTTGTTACCGAGTACAGGATTTTGCGGGAGTTACCCGCGTCTGTGAGTATTTGTCGCCAATAGTATATTTTTGTATTTTTGCATATCAGCTTCGGTGTACACAGAATCGTCGGGGATTCTTTTGAATATTAGCTCGTAAAGACCGGGTGTTCCAATGTATCCTGTTTCGCCTATGATTATATTATCGTCTCTGTCCACATCGATACGTTTATCACCGAGCATCGCTCCATCGTTACTAAGACGTACGCCGTAAACATAATCTATAGTGTTATCTTTTCCATTGCTTAGCACAGCTCCCATATATTTTTGACCCAACGGACCAAAATGATCACGTAAAGTTTGTTCTTTGTACGTTCGCAACTGACGTCTACCGGTTTATCGGGGGTTTCGGAAACATTCTCATCATCATCATCATCATCAGTGAGTAGATTGTCGATCGGTGAAGGTTCATGCGACATTCCATGTAGTTCCTCATGTTGTAGAGCTTCCGTCGATGTAGGAACTATCAGAGGATCGTTTAATAGTTTCCGTTTCGGTGTAGTAAATGCGACTGGTGAAAGTTTTGCCTTACGCTTTATCTTTTTTTCGGGTTTTAATATTACACTATTTGTTTTTTCGCTTGTACTCATTGCTAGTGGCTCAGTTTTAACATCAACGTTACTTTCCACATTAGCGTTGCTTCCCGCGATTTGCTTGAGAGGTTCAATAATAAGTTTAAAGTGTCTCTCCAATGCAGCATTTTCTACCATTCTACCGGTTTTCAAAGCGCGATACTTCTTGCGGATCGATTCGCTCGTTTTCGCAATCTCTTCTGCTACTTTTTCACGATCCATGATCTTCACGCTACTATTCATCATTGATATATTTGTCTCGTGGACGTTGAAGATGTTACCACGTTGAGGTTAAAATGACGATTGTGCATCTCACAGCACAGCAAAGTCGTTAAATCCTTTTCTGTATCGTCCGTCGGTCATTGAGCTATCCTTATCAATCACTGTGAAACCATATTTATCCTCCCAACATTTGCAACACAATGTACTGAAATCCTCATATGACATGTCAGTGTTCACATGATCGTTGTACACATGTTTCAAGTTGGTACCATCCTATTTAAAGAGAATCAGAAGATTTGCATTGTCCCATATAAGATGCTTGGGTATTTTTGCGTACGTCTAACAGAGGTAGAAACAGTCAACACTCGAATGACGACCCATTGCAAAGTATTCTCTTATCATATCTTGTTTGTCACATGCAACGTCATCAAAGATAAAAATAGAATTTTTAGGCGCTTCGGTCGTTGGAATCACATCGCTGTTATTGGAGAATGTAAAGTATCCAATTTCATCTATCGATTTCAGCAGATTTTCCAAGTAGCGATATTTAGGTTGTTGCAACGATTTCGAGTACACGTACAAGTTCTCGAAACGTAGACCGTGTGGACTTTCCAACAAGCTGATGAGAATGTTTGTCTTGCCGCAATTCGAGGGACCGCATATGATGCCGCGTATGGTATTCGGAAGCATGTTTCCATGCGCGCCTCTTGCTCAAGCATTGATTCCGTTCTATTGTCGAAATTTGTCACGCATATCGACGTTGGTTGCTTCACGAACCGCATGTTTCCCCCGTGAGTGGCAAAATAATTTAAATGTGACGGTGATTTAACTATATATAAGCGCGTCAATCTTGGAAACACTCAGTTTAGAAAATGTTCCTTCTGTTGACAGATACCCATGATATTCGAGAGCTAACCTCCGAACAACTGAAATATATACCGAAGATTGTTCTGTTACGCGAATTTGCAAAGTATATTGACGATTTGCAGGATAGACTCCCGGAACATTTAAGAGTCGATCCAGAGTTCAGCAGTATCGTCGATGTTTGAAACATTACAATCGTCCGTGGCAGCAAACATATCGACGGTCCAGCACCGCTGATCAGGGACTGTAGTGAATGTCGTCGACAAAAGTCAAAGTCGGCAGTGGTCTATTGAATCGCGCGATAAATGCGCTTCCTATCGAACTACACATTCCCGGACACATATCGTATATCAATTTTGTGGTCCTGGAACTCGCTTGGTAAAACGATTGGTCAGAGGTGACCAAGGCATTAATTCATTGGACGCGGCGTGTCGTGAGCACGATATAGCCTATTCGCGTAGCAACAATCTCACCGATCGGCACGCGGCGGATGAGATTCTCGCTATGAAAGCGCGGAAACGCATAACTTCGAAAGAATCAACTCTAGGCGAGAAAGCTGCTGCTGCAGTCGTTTGGGCTGCTATGAAAGCCAAAACGAAGCATTTCCAGTAGCAAAACGGGGTGGTATTTTACCAGTTCTACCATTACTGGGAGTTCTCGGTTCACCAGTCGGTGGAGCTGCGGGTGTCGCAAAAGCGGTGAATGATGGCAAAGCCGCGCAAAGCTAGTTGGAAGAAGTAAAACGTCATCATCGCGCAATGAAAGGTCGCGCTACGAAAGGTCGCGGAATCTATCTTGCTCCGTACAAGCGCGGGAAAGGCGCTGCAGAAAAAAAAAACGTCAAATAAACGCTAAAATTACCCACGGGTGCAATGACTAATGTACAGTTGGAAAGACTAGCGAGCTGTATGCGTATATCTTTCTTTCGAAGTGTTTTCATGCGTGACGCCTTACCCATGGATGGAGTACGTCAAAACGAGAGCGGTATTGTAAATTTAGACAACACAGAGGGACCCGGTACTCACTGGGTGGCGTATGCGAAAAGAGGAAATCGCGCAGTATATTTTGACAGTTTTGGTAATCTTCGACCGCCCAAGGAATTGATTCGATACCTTGAAAGAGATGTAGTGAAAATTTTGTACAATCGCACATCATATCAACATTACAACCAGAGCATTTGCGGACAATTGTGCTTGCAGTTTCTCCAAACGGTAGAGGATCAATTTAAATGATGATGATGACATTCCACTAACAGCAGTCAGTATTCGTTCGGCAGTTTGCAAACATGTCGCTAACGCTTACGTTGACTGGCAACAGTAACACCCTTACGGTGAGCTACTTTCCCGCTATAGATTTGAGCGATGGTGATTACGAGCTCGGTTTAACGGATTTCGAAGCATACAATACGATACCAAACGTAAATTCGTCGAATAATAAATTTTACTATGGTGCTAACGATGAAGAAATTACGATTCCTGAAGGATCGTACGAATTTCGCGCCATATACGAATATCTGACGTGCAATTTCACATTCTCCAAAAGCAGTGCATTCCAAAAATAATCCATATAGAGATGACGAGAATGAATATCCTATAATAATTCGTGCCAATAATAACACGATGAGGAGTGAAATAAAATGTGCTTATAGAATAAATTTTAGCAAACCAAACAACATTGGCTCGCTTTTGGGATTCTCATCGAGTCGTATATTAGAACCGCACCGATGGTACGAATCGGACGCCCCGATTAACATTATCAACGTGAATATCATTCGTATAGAATGCAGCGTTGTCAGTGGTGCTTACAGTAACAGTATGCGTGTACATACGATACATGAATTCTCATCTAAGGTGCCACCAGGATATAAGATATCGGAAACACCGACACATGTCATTTATCTTCCAATCATCGCACGGAGCATTACAGATTTAACGGTGCGTGTAGTTGATCAAGAAGGACAATCGCTCGATTTTCGAGGAGAAGAGATTACCGCTAGATTGTACGTACGACGGCGACGATAATAAACGTAATCTATGAAATGCTTGTGGTGAATCAAGTGGGACAGGTGAAAC